TATATATATACTTTGCAGTCGACTGCCGGCTGGCGTCTCCGGCCTGCCCTCTGCACCGACTGCGAGCCAGCATTCGAAATGTTAAAAGTAATTTCCTCGACTATAGTTGATAGCTACTGTGCCGGCAGCTGTTTGCACCCGGCTCCCCGCTGTCCGCCGACCGTCTCCCGCCTCCTGGCCTCAGCTCTGGGCTCAGCCTCTAACTGCGCCCCGGAGTAAGCTACTACGCGCTTGTCCCAGAGTCGAGGTAATGGAATGTCCTATAGCTCGTAGGTTAGCTGCCAGCCTCTCCCTACCCTCTGTCCTCCCCCTTAATACCCATTACATGCCATACCAGCGCCCGTACCCGCGCCCTCTCCCCTTCCGCTGGCAGTGACTTTCGCATGCAGCTGTTGGTATAGCATTGCACTTGGAGGCATTATTCTCTTGGAAAGTGCTCATCAAGGTTCATTTAACATTGTTTTAGCATCATAATCATAGTTAAGAGTCCACAGTGCTGCAGCATATACCCTGTAAGAGTAATTCAAGCCCTTGATTGATTCAGTCTCTGCACAGTAGGCTGGAGCTCCATTTCCGTAGCAAATTATAAATTCCCAATTGAGAGCTGCTCGTGCAATAGAGTCGAGGGAGACGAGACGAGTCGCAGTTACTGTCACAGTCACAGTCACAGTCACAGTCGCAATCACAGTCGCAGTCACAGTCGCAGTCACAATTACCATCACACTGTATTGAATGCCTTCGCTAACAATGCAAACTGAAATCATTACAATGGGACAATAAAACATTATCTTGCGATTGACATTTCCATTAGGGCGCATTGGCTTATTTAGTGACATTTGTGTTGTTAGTTTGTCGTTTTCTGTCTTCTCTTTTCAGCTTACCGCCTGTTTCTCTCCCTCTCTCTCTGCTTCGCTCTCTCTCTCTCTCTCTGCTCTTCGCCTAATGCTCTTACAGTCCATATTCAGTTTATTGTTCATTTTCCTGTGTAATGCGACAGCAATGAAGGTCAGACCGAATTATTGGTATTCCCAATTGGAGTCTAATTAGCCCCGAGTCGCAATAAAACACAAAATCGTTCTTTAAAGCCAGCATCCGCGTTTTTATTGATGAAACGACTTCAGTGTATGTAGAGTTACATAAATAACAAATGGTTTTTAAATGCCTTTAATTTTTATTTGGTTTTCAAACGATAAAAAATCGTAAAATTGACATACGTCTTTTTTTCTACATATTATATATACATACATATATCTACATCACTGTGTGCATATAGATATACATGTGCAGCGCCTTCACTGCCTTCACTGCAGACGATGAAGTGTATTGGGAAGCGCGTTTATAGTAGAACTATTCGATCTGTATGAAATTACAAATTTCATGTACGCCTTTCAATGCCTCGACCGACCTGCAAATGGAGTTATGGATTAGCATATATAGTGCCATCTGTAGTAATCAGCGCTACTTACCAGTCATCATCTGAACTGATCGAGACGTAGTGCATCTAATAGAAAAAAATTGTATATACTAATATGAATTCCAATAAAATGGAATTATATGGCATATACATAGGTAGCTAGATATATCGTTATCTATCTAAAAAAGTGTGTCGTAAGCCGGGAAAATAATAGTCATAAGCAAGTTATGGCGAGACATGGTACGTCCTGATGAAGTAATCTGTGCAAAGAGAAGAGAGATTGTAATATGCAAAAATTGGAAACGCATTTAAGATATCTGAGCTCACCTATAGCATATGGATGTATATAT